GCAGAATGCACAGGTTTTGTATGTTGAAGCAAGTGGTTCATATTGTAACCAATGGGCTACAAATGGTTGAATCATATTGAATGGAAATGAAAGTGGAAGGAAACGATCATGGTCTAATTTGATGTATTCTTCCAGAATATGCATGAAGGGTTATCTCAGTTATATTTGGTGCCATTTCCGAGATTCGAAGCTAGCACCTTCCGAATGCTGATCAAGAAATTCCCTGCTCTAACAGAACCTGGATGTTCATTGCGTGTTCACAATAGACCCGGTACCGGTTCCTGTGCTTATCTGGTCCACAGCCTCACCCTGTTTTCTTTTAATCACCTAGGTCTCCCAAGTGGTCCCTTCTCCTAAGGTTTCCCCACTCAAATTATGGAAACATTTCTTGTATCTATTAATATTTTGTGAAGGATACGAACTGTAAAGCTACTCGTAATGTAGTTTTCTCCATCCTCATTATTTCCTCTTAAGTCCAAATTACTCTCAGCACCCTGTTATAAAACACATATAACTGTAGCATGTAGACACTTTGCTAAATAATGAGTCTATAAACAACGGCCGATGCTAGGCAACGATCGCGGAATAAACATACGGCAGCCGTTGATGAATAAAGGCTTCGCAAACAAACATGTTCCCACAGCAAGGATTGAAGTACAACGATGAAAAACCATGTTTTTTACGCGGTACGTGCTGAGGGATTATAAACGGGGCAGATTTAGAGTTTTAGTCAGTTGTGGGATATTCGCCAGCCGGTGAGGACCTAAGCAGAGGACAATGTTATGATCCTTTACCAGGAAGCGGGTAGTGAAAAACTGAGAATACGAGTGCATGGATTAGCGAGAGCTTATTAATTACATGTAGTCACTATCTGTTAGTGGTCAGTAAATCCAATCACCATTCCAAACCCCGTCTATAGTCGCATTTCAAACACTTGTCAATATGTATGCTTCCCCATAGTGACACTATGCTTTATACTCACATGGAATAACAAATAAATCTTAGGTTTTGTGTGTAGACTATGATCCTTCACATTTATAGTAAAAGTTCTGAACTAGTCAACGGAATTCGTGTTTTTTCCTATCTGTGCTCAAATAAAATGTGAACTATGAAAATATACAATTTTGATTATCAGCTGACAGCTTGTCAGATAGGATTAATATTGTCATTATCAGTTTAACGAGATATATTGTTCTATACTAATTATGTAGGAAGATGAACTGAGTAATTGATTTAATGTGGATTTATAATGCTCCACTAATTACTGCTAAGCTCTGTGAAGCATAAAATTAGAGAGTAAATAACAGTGGTACAGCAACCAGCTCAAGTAGAAGCGCAGTGTTTAGCGAGTTACATCGTTAATCTTGAATTGAATTGTTTTGTCAGAAGTACAGAGGATGATGTTACCTTAGTCGCTGGTTAACAGGTACACAGGCACGGAAACAAGGTGCAATATAATGCTTTGTATTGAAGCTCGGGAGTGGCTTATTGTTCTTTACATGGAATTCTATAACATCTCGTCATTACAATTGTGAGGGAATCCACAACATATCGAACTTGGATATTGTAACTTTCTTACCGTAGCGCCGTGTTGTGTTGTACAGTATATACAGCTCTGCCGATCACAGCTGTCGCGCGGTCCTCACTCACTCTAACACTGAGATCGTGGGTTCAAATCCCGCTTGAGGGATGGTTGTCTGTGTGCGCTTATTCTGTGTTATGTATAGGTAGCGGCCTTGCGACTGGCTGATTCCCCGTCCAAGGAGTCCTATCGACTGTGTAAAAGCTCAAGAAACTGAAATCGAAATATACCTACCGAGCGGCCGCCGCTTGTCGTCGAAGTTAGTGCCAACTTTAGCCGATAGAGAGTGTTCCGTGGTCAGTGTAGCGGATCCCCACGGCCGTTAATTTCGTTTTTTTTTTAGACCGGAGCCGCTACTTTTCCATTCAAGTAGCTGCTCAGTTATCCTCACGAAGCTGAGTGAACTCCGTTCGAGACCCACTACTACTCAGAAAATCTGGTAGCGCCGGGAATCGAATCCGGACCTCTGGATCTGTAGCCAGGAACTCTGACCACTAGACCGCAGAGGCGGCGGCCAAGTTCCAACAAAGGGGCTGTAGAGCCATAGATATATAGGTAGATATTAAGCTGTATATATTTCCGCCAGTGCAGATTGCTGTGTAGACATAATATACATTAAGTAGTAAATATTTAACGTATACAAAAAGTTTTGTCGAGTAGTAAATACTTAATGTGTAGTAGAGCTATACAAAAATTGTACTGAGTAATTTCTATACAGAAATTGATTATGAGTAGTGAATATTTAACCTACAGTATATCTTTACAAAAACGTTATGCTGAGTAAGATAAAGTAAAGTTTCCCCTGTGCTTAACTAATTAAGCACTATGCCATGAAGGCGTATGGGGTGTGGATGTACAGATCCACATTTTCTTGCCCTCCGCACTAGTTGGAGGTGAGTGGTCAGCTTCACGCCCCGGTCGCTTTACTCCCGGGGAAAGAGTTCCCGGTACTGAATGGATAGGAAGTTTGGTGAACCCCAGTGCCCGTCTGGACGACATGGAGGATTGAAAATTCTTGACCCTACCGGGACTCGAACTCCGACCCCTCGTTCGTCCAGCCCACAGCTAATCGCTATACCGCTTACGCTGCTATGCTGAGTAATATTTTTTTTTAATTCGCTTAGTGGGGGGTGGAGTCCAACAGGGTCCACTCGGCACGGCGGCCACTGATTGGCCTATTGTAGCCAGCCCCGGGTGATTATGATGATGGAGAATTTGGTGGAATGAAGATTGGAAGGGGAAACCGAAGTACTCGGAGAAAAGCCGCCCCAGCACCACTTTGTCCACTACAAATCCCACTTGACCAGACACGGGATCGAACCCGGGCCTCCGCGGTGGGAAGCCAGCTACTATCCGCTTGAGCTATGGCGCGGCCTTATGCTGAGTACTAAAGTTTAGTATGTCTATGCAAGAAGTGTCACTGAACAGTAATCACTTAAGTTGTGCTGAGGGAAATAAATTTGGTTGAAATTCGTAAATCTACCACGTGAATAAGTCGAACGTCGCAGTCGAGTGGGAGGCTCGCCTTTTTATTTCGGAGGTCTCAATTTCAAACCTCGACCTGTAGACTGTCTGTTCTGACTGAGATATCTCGTGGTGTTCCTAATACCTCTAGGAAAATTCCAGGATAGTACCCACAATTAAATGAAATCAAATGTACTACCTACCAGTTTTGTACCAATTCAGTTTTAATTGTCTTCTGACTATCCAACCCTATGTAGCCTTTGCTGTTGACGTCATCATTAAACAGACTGTACGTGAACAAACCACGCTGGATATATTATATGTCACCTGATGACCTTTCTCAGCTGTGCTTGAACCGTTTGATATTTATATAATTGAATTTCTGAGTCCTACATTGTACCTTGCCGTTAAAGCTCATGGGGGATGGATGTATAAATCCACATTTTCTGACCTCGGTACTAGTTGGAGATTAGTGGTCAGCTTCACGATCCTGCCGCTTTACCCCCGAGGAAAGAGCCCCCGGTACCCATTGGACAGGAGGCTGGATGGGCCCCAGGGCCGGTCTGGACGACGTGGAGAAGAGAAAATTCATCATAAAAAAATCATCATAAAATCAGAGTTTAATTAAAAATTTAATTTCTTTAATTCACAGTATGTAATATATTCGGCAGTATGCTGATTCCAGAAACGATGTTTAACGTTTTATTTGCCCTTTATTTTGTATCTCATAAATATATATGTCTTGTAATAACATCCAGCGTTGTTATATTTACACTAATGTCTCGAGTGAAGTGTTAGAATGTAAGTTATATTGTCTTACTTTTTGGTGTGATGAATTATACAATCCGTAGAAAGTAGCCCTGATTGTATAATTTGTCCAAATGATTGTCCAATTTGATTCTCCGTAAGACAGATATTTCTGTTATGTCTTACACACTATTTCCATTACATTCATTGATATGGGAAGGAGCGTTAATACAGCAACAATGCCTATTATGATAGACACAATAGATCACTGTGGTCGCGGTGCAAGGACCAAGAAGGCCCACCCCCTATACATTCATTCATGCCTATTATGATGCGATGTCGCAAATGTTTGGAAACTGCTCATGTTCGCTCGATTTACTGCAGCCTTTGTATAATTAGATAGGCTACATGTGGTAATCGAAACGGAACTTTTTAATGCCCATTCTAAGTGTATTCCTCCATTCCTCGTCGAACTACGACTGCCATACCTTTTTTTTTTTAATTCTCATAATAAAAGGGGACGAGTCCAGCTGGGTTCACTCGGCACGTCGGCCACTAATTGGCCTATTGTACCTGCCCCGGGTGATTATGATGATGGAGAATTTGGCGGAATGAAAATTGGTAAGGAAAACCGAAGTACTCCGACAGAAACCCGCCCCAGCGCCACTTTGTCCACCATAAATCCCACTTGACCAGACCCGGGTTCGAACCCGGGCCGCCGCGGTGGGAAGCCAGCTACTAACCGCTTGAGCTATGGCGCTGCTTATGCCATATCTTACTAAAGTTCATTTCTGGAAAGGTACAGTTATCGAAAAACGTCGATTATCCACGAACTTTTGCTCATTTGACGTTGTTATCTCACCGTGTAAGTTACGTTAAGTGATCTAGTCAAGAATGTTCATTAAATGCCATATTAGTTACAAGTAAATAAATTATATTGTGATGATGCATACATTTGAACCTTTAAGGCCTGAATTTCTTCTAAATAATATATCAAATATAAGTTCGTACCTAACAGAAAACATGTTACGTAACCGCTACAAAACCAAACGGTTACTGCTGATGTTTACTTTGAGAACCACACGAAACACAGACATACGAGTACACACTGTGGGCACTTTGTAGAGTTTTGGTATAGGTTAAAGCAGGTACTACACATACTAACCTCTCGGTCTGTTTCGTTTGGCGCGTGATGATAGTTACTTACCATGCGTTGAGTTTATTGATGTTTAATGTCGATTCAGATCACCACTTAACATCCCGAGAGCACTAGAGGAAACATTGGGTCTACTCGCGGTTGGGCGGATGTCGAATCACATACTGCTTGGGAACGGCGCCATACCGCGCGCCGTTGTGCGATGTAACTCGCCCACAGATAAACTGCGCAGGACCTACCATCTTCATTCTTCCCTGCCTCTCATTGTATTATCAGATCCAAATGAAGTGCAGCGTATTTTAGGCTACCGTATTCCCAATATTGACCTTCCATACCACTGCTTAACATTATTATAAGCTCATATTAATTAAGGTTAATTTATTTTTAATTATTTCATATCGCATTCTCACACGATATGAAATTTTGACGTGCCATACAGTACAACAGCCAATCACAGTGGCCGCGCGATCTAAGTAATGAACTGTCTTCTCTCGCTCTAACGCTAGGATCGTGGGTTCGAATCACACTCAAGGCATGGATGTCTGTATGTGCGTTTATTCCGTATTTGTGTTGTTCTGTGTGTAGACAGCGGCCTTATGACGGGCTGATCCCCCATCAAAGGAATTCTACCGACTGTAAATAGGACTGTGAAACTGAGAAAATGGCCAAGATCTAACAAAGCATTGTAGAACCATAGATGCACGGACAGATAGACAGACAGACAGATGGATAGGTAGGTACGTAGGGAGGTAGGTAGGTAGAATGCAACAATTCTGTCGAGATAGAAGATACCTGAGCCGGTCACGGTAGCCGAGCGGTCTAAGGCATGTACTGTCTTCGCTCGCTCGGAAACCGGGATCGTGGGTTCGAATCCCACTCAGGGCATGGATGTTTAGTTTGTGTGTGTGCGTTTTTCTATGTTTGTGTACAGGTAGAGGCCTTGCGACGAGCTGATCACCCGCCCATGGAGTCCTACCGTATGCGTAAGATCTAGAAAAACCGAAGTGAACGGAGAAGTTCATGGAGGTAGGCCTAGGCTCACTGGGGCTGTAGTGCCAAGGTAAAAAAAAGAAGATACCTGATGATGGCCTTTCCTCGCTTTGAGAAGGACTTAATGGGCGTAAAGTGTGAGTTAGAAGCAACTTGTGCAAATAAATATTCTTGGCTCTATCACACCTTTTCAAACTGGGATTGACAGATGACCCCACTTGCGAAAGGTGCCTAGAAAAAGAATGAGCCACTCATAACCTATGTGATTGTGAGGCCATAGCTTATTTCAGATTTCGTCACCTGGGCAAGTTCTTTATTGAACCGAGTGGCCACTGTGACGCCTCCATTTCATTAGATGTGTAGGTTTAATAAAGAGTCAAAAGGGGAGACCGCGCCATCGCTCAAGCGGTTAGTCTCTGGCTTTCCACCGCGGCGGCCCGGGTTCGATCCCGAGTCTGGTCAAATGGGACTTGTGGTGGACAAAGTGGCGCTGAGGCAGATTTTCTCCGAGTACTTCGGTTTCATTCCACCAATTGCTCCACAGTCACCCTCACCTATCATCTGGGGCTGGTACAGTAGGCCAAAAGTGGCCGCAGTGCAAGGGAATTAGTCCCACCCCACTAGCAATAAAAACAAACAGTCAAAAGGCGAAGCACAATAGATCATTGAAGGTCGCGGTGCAAGGGCCGGATTATTATGACCCTCCCTTCTTACATTCATTCATTGGTTATGTCATCGCAAGGTCATCATTTTTGGGACCATCATTTTGATGAGAAAATTGTTTATCTAAATTGATTTCAGTTAATATAACGTTAGGGGTTGTACATAGTGGAACAAAATTAATATTATAAAGTGTTTAAATCAGTATACTTTTTCATTCCTTCCCCAAGCACACAATTATTCTCATAAGCGTTTAGCAGGCGGCGATTTTAAAAGGTCGCCACAGTGCCATGCGACACTGGACTACGAAACACGTCATATTTGATGGATGTACACGGAGTGTCCCCTTTACCTCATTTCTGCATATATCATTTACTGACAAAGGTAGTATATCATACAGGAGTCTTTACCGAAATTGGCAGGTTGCAGTTATTTTTAAACTAGTTAACATTCACAAAAGCAGTACGCGAAGTAGCATGCCCTACAATGTGTGGAAATGCTTTCGGGTAACTTCAAGCCCCGCTACATGGACATGTTAGCTATATGGAGCATGGGAGGAAAACTCTTTAATTTCTAACTAAATTGAATCGAGCTTCGTAATTTGTATTTCCCACAGGATATCATTAGGGTTATCATGTTAAGGAGGATAAGAGGTCGCGCCATAGCTCAAGCGGTTAGTCGCTGGCTTCCCACCGCGGCGCCCCGTTTTCGATCCCGGGTCTGGTCAAGTGGGATTTGTGGAGGACAAAGTGGTGCTGGGGTGGATTTTCTCCAAGTACTTCGGTTTCCCCTGCCAATCTTCATTCCACCAAATTCTCCATCATCATAATCACCCGGGGCAGGCTACAATAGGCCAATCAATGACCGCCGTGCCGAGTGGACCCAGTTGGACTCTACCCCCACACCAAGCGAATTTAAAAAAGAAAAATATTTTTAAGTAGCATGAGATGGGCGGTGCATGTAGCACGCATGCGAGAGAAGAGAAACGTATTTAGAGGTCTGTAATTAGACCTGAAGGATAGAGACCGCTTGGAACACCTAGGCTTAAAAGGTAAGGTAAAGCTATTCTTGTAACAGGTCGTGGGTTGTGAGACTTTGAGGGTCCCACATTTTCTCTAGACAGTCGGCTCACAGATGGCGGTGAGATTGCCAGCCTTACCGACCGGCTCCCTTTACCCCCCCCCCCAAGTAATATTCCTAGTATTCATTTCTGTTAGAGACTGAGTCGACCACAAGGCCACAGTGCGGCTGGAAGGATTAGGTAAATTGAAAGAATCCACCTCATTGGGATTTGATCCCGCGACCTTCCGTCTTGTAGCATAGTGCCTCAACCAACTACGCTACCGCGTGCCCCCACACCTAGGCGTAGAGAGAATAATATTGAAGTGGATGTTTCAGAAATATGACGGGGAGGGAGGACTTGATTCCTATGGCACAGCATAGGAGCCAGTGGCGGGCTGTTGTTAACACGGTAATGAGTCTTCTGATATATCTTCAGTATCTGAGGAACTGTTAGCTTGTCTAGAAGAATTGTGCTCCATGGAGTTCGAGGTTAGTTTGACAGCCATGCTGCATTATCGCCGCCAAAGTGCTGCTGTTTTTAGATAAGAGTGTCATGAGTCATTGCAGTCATGAAGTGACGAGGAAATTTGTTGATCTCGGTTCGCCAGCGGACGTTTATTTGGGAACTGTTCCTGTAGTTCAATTTGTATTAACATCTCTTCTCTGAAGGAAATGCAGTGACTGTCATTTCCAAGTAGAACTCCAGTCTTTTTGCTTTCAGTTGGCTTCTAAAGTTGTGTTTCATAAATTATTATTAATCATATTTCATTGAATGTATAGATCTAAAGATAGGCTGAGTATGAAGTGTATATTTATCCATACGGATGTAGTGATCCAGTAAACAGATCAAACATCAAACGCGGTTTGATCTTATATTTTAAGATTTAACATTTCGGTTTCTCTGAATTATAAAAGTACAAGGATTCATTTCTGTCTTCTTGAAATTAATAGTTCGGTTGTAGTTTATATATACAGCCTTTGATTCGAGACATCCATGAACTCTAAACCGGAGAATTTAATTTCCCGGTCAGTTTCGCTTATTTCGGTGTATTTGTGATTTACTGAACAGTGCTGTTAATTTCTCAGGCGGTATGGCATAGAATGAATGGATGATTTAATTAATAATGTAATGGAAGGGATGTGGAAGTAATTGGTCATGCCATAATTTCGGCGGATACCCCGGAGTTTGCCTGGAGAGACTAAGTAAAGCCACGAAAGTCTTCCGGATAGCCGGCTCGCCAGCCGAGACTCGAAGCAGTCACCTTCAAAATAAAAATCTGAAGCGTTATCGCTTAAACCAGCCTGCGGAGTTCTGTTTGGTGTACTGCTGTAAGTACTGAAATTTAGTCAGCCTTGCAGTGTTTTGATACAGGATAAGGTAAAATGGTCCCTGTGACAGGCCATGGAGGCCCGTAAGGTTGTGAGACGTCGAGGCTCCCACATTTTGTAGACAATCGGCTCACATGTCGGTGAGGTTGTCACCCTTAGGCGCCGGCCGCCATATACCCCAGGGAGATTCCTGGTGCTCATTTCTGGTAGAGGCTGAGTAGACCCCAGGTCCATAATGCGGCTGGAAGGATTGAGGCAATTCGTTTTGATGTAAGTGATGAAGTTAATTTTTCGTGTCTGAAGTCCGGAAATCTCTGTAATTAATTTTCCCAATTTTTATTGGGCCCTTTCTGAGGGGCCCAACTGAGTTGGTGACTTCTCCCCCTTCACCTGAGGACGGAAACAGGTCCGGTTTCCGAAACATCGTGTTTTCTATACTCTGGAATACCGGACGTTGGAAAAAGTCCAGAAACCCTGTAATTATGCGTAATTCTTTAAGTCTGTGTTTAATCATATAGGTGTATAATTTGGTCTCAAAATAGGTATACAATTGCAAAAGTTGGAACAAATTAATTAATGTATTCTTCTGGGTAGATTTATGCGCTGGTAGCGACGTTCTGGAGAAACATGCTACTCCCATCATCAGGGTTGAAGCGTGTAGGTTGAGGAATAGGTTAAGCTTGTGTGTGTGTGTGTGTGTTTATATGCGCGTCACCGATGATGGCTACTTTTGCCTGGATAACATTCAGGATTGACCACCGTGTATAACACTCAATGTAGATATACTTAAAGCAGACCCACGTCAGGCTGTACAGTGGCATAGCTCTTGGTAGAGAGCTCAGCAGATGCAGCAATTATTATGTAGACAGATTATAAGTAAGGTGATAACGCTGTCCCATTGAAGGGAGCCTGATCTAGGACTAAATTGAAAGCGAAAGTGACCTTCTTCAGAGTTAAAATAATTCATTCATCAGTAATCTGTCAAGACGACAGGTCCATAGTCTCTTCCAAAACAGTTCCTCCATTTAAAGCGATCTAGAGCTTTCTCCTTCAAATGAGAATATCCTCTTCTGTCCCCAAGGTCATCCAGCATCTTCCTTCGTCTTCTGGTCACTTCTATCCGCCCCTCTATCTTTCCTTCAGTATCTTCTTTTAGAAGGCAGT